TGTGTGTGTGTGTGTGTGTGTGTGTGTGTGTGTGTGTGTGTGTGTGTGTGTGTGTGTGTGTGTGTGTGTGTGTGTGTGTGTGTGTCCTGCTCTAATCCAATAAGCTGGGTGGACCTATCATCCCTTAAGGGTCACTGAATGCCTCCAACACACACACACTGTACTTTCTATATATTCTGCATACAGCACACATGTCATTTAAATACAACTTGCTCGAATAGACAACTAGTTATTATTGTAATTATTACGACATGTCTTTTTGGGGGAAGTTTTTCAGTATTAACACACAGACTTTCATTGTTAAGCCCAATTATAGTACGTACACGGCTATGTGATGGGGTCAGTGTAGCAGTGATGCTAACATGTCTTCTCAATGTGTGTTTTAGCCACATCTCCCAACGCGGGTTCAGAGCTGGAGCAGGCCAGACCTCAGACCAGCGGAGAGGAGGAGCTGCAGCTGCAACTGGCTCTGGCCATGAGCAGAGAGGCTGCCGAGCAGGTATAAATTAATTAATTAAAAAAAACTAAAACAAGAAGTTGAAATACGTTCAGTAAAAATTGTCTGCATCGTTCTGCAAAAACACATTAAAACCTCTATGTAACCCTGTAAAGCACGTACATTGCCAATGCATATTTTTTTCAATAAACTAGGTTTTTCTTGGTCAATAAACTGTAATCTTCAGAAGCATATTGCACCACCAGCTAAATGGCATTTTCCCTTTATCATGAACTTGTATTTGAATAAATAGGTCAAAAATATTGAGACCATTCTGTGTTTTTAGTTAAAAAAAAGTTGCTCATGTGCTGATTATACTAACTGTGCTCAGGAGGATCGCATACGCAGAGGGGACGACCTGAGACTACAGATGGCCTTGGAGGAGAGTAAGAAAGGAGGGCCTGATTCGGGCAAACTGGCCAAAAGGAAGAAAGAGGTGAAAATGCACACACACACGGAAACTAAAGTGACTCTGTTGTTCCGTTATCATGACGCTGCTCATTAAAGGTATTTTTCTGCTGCTTCCTGAGCCGTAGTGAAAACTGGCAGCACACTCCCCAGTTTACTCATCGTTATTCTGCCTGAGTAGCAACTGGCTAAAGTGCGGCTCATGTTTTATCTCGGCACATAACGATGCGACCACCGTCATCATGTTTAAACAGGATAATGGCCGACCAACAGATGGTCTTCAGATGGAATGTTTTTCTTCCCTTTTCATCTCAAATGCTCCCATTTTCCCCTCCTTTGTCTGCATCCTTGTTTCGTTTCCTGCTCACTTTCTCCGTCTCTCTCTCCAGCCACAATCGTCTTTGTTGGATCTGATGGTCGTCCCTGAGCCCGGTGCCACCGCTGACCCCTGGGGCGCAGGGGCCACAGCCGGAGCCAGGGCCGCCGCCGCACCAGAAGACCCCTGGAAGACTTATGGTACACACACTCTCCTTTTAGAAACAGTCACATCAGATTATGTCGAACACACTGACTGTCCTTGTTGATTAGTTTGGGTGTGTAGTGTGTGTTTCTGTGTGTGGCGTCTCTGCTGTCCACCTGCAGCTCAAAGCACTGTGAGTCTTTGTGAAATAGGAATGCTGCTCCACTGGCTCAGCAGCTATACTGCACA